CTTGGCTTGGGTCTCCTGGCTGGTAGGCCCATAACTCTGCTATCCTAACGGCGTGGGCTTGGCTTGGGTCTCTTGGCTTGGGTCTCCTGGCTGGTCGAGGACGTAGCTCTTTCCATCAGTCTTTCCTGCCTGGTGTTAGAACTTCGAAGCTTGGGGTACAGAGCAGAGTTCGGTAGGTAGGCATAGGCCCATAACGTTAGGATAGCTTAGGCGTGCCCCGTATATTTAAGACTGATGGAATTCACCTTCCGACATCCAGTGGATGTTACTTGCTGAATGCATTGTACCGTAGATAGGGAAGCGGGTGAGATCTTATAGACAGATATACAATGTATATGGTTTGTCACAGCCCCTCTTTTGTTCTCCTCTTGTCCCTCTCTGCCTACGGTTTACTGGGCAGCTCTGTTTGACTACATAAAAGGTTAGCTCGAGTGAGGTAAACGAGAAGAAAATTGAGTAGAAAAAAAAACACAACTGTCCCTCCTTTTTCAAAAACAACAACAACAACGACTGTCCCTCTGTGTGAGGAGTAGACAGCTGTGTTTTTTTGCATTCATAAAAAAAAAAGGTGTTAGCAAACGAAATCTGTGTAGCATCGTGTTCGGGTTCGGTGACCGAACCCAATGTTCGTGACCGAATGCGAGCGAGCGTGTGTCCGTGCCTGCGTGCTGCTTCGTGTGTGTTCCGTGGCTATCCTGCATCGTTTTTCATCGTTTGTCGGCGTGCGCTTGCACGTTTGGAGTTGTCTCGCACCTTCGTGTTCGTCCACTTCGGCGCAGGTGTGTGTATGTGGGAATTTGCGCGTGTGCATGTGAGTGTGTGTGTTGTTTAGTGTGTGTAGTTTGCTGTTCACTTTCGTATTTCCACTTTTGGTTTGTTTTTTTCGCCTTGTCTGCACACCGTCATTTCCCTAACGACAAATCCATTTTTGGATTTCGAATGGGTGCGGACGCACGGGTCCCACTTCTCCGACGACAAATCCGACAGGTACCCAGTAGGCCGCGAAGAACTGGTAGCGCAATAAAAAATGGACGATTGTGGCCTACTGGTAGGCAGAGGTTTTTTGCGGTGGGGGGAGTGGAAGTTTAAGCATCTTGTCTTTCTTCTTTTTTTCCTTTTTTTTGGAAAAGGAGCAACCTTTATAAAACTGTGCCGGGAACCCGGCACGGAGTCCCTCGCAAAGTTCGCCGCAGCTCTAAGGCTGAGCAAGGCTCTCTGGCCAAGAGAGCCAAGCAAAGAACGGGGGTTCGGACCACATAGTTTTGGGATGATGGGCTTGGTCCAAAGGATGAGCGCAACTGACACTCAATCCTCCTGATTGGGTAGTAAATGACTACTAGCAATGGTAGTAATGAAGGCTTTTTATTTTATTTTTATATAGAGTAGTCAATACTTTGGTGGCCCCCCTGGCGGGGGGACCACAGGAAACGTTGTGTGTGTTTCAGAATTTGTAATTCTGGCCTTGCTGGTGGAAAAGGGAACTGGAAAAAAAAAAAAAAAAAAAAACTGGACCGATGCTCCCCAGAATAGGGTGGAGCTAAGACCAAGGTATTAAGCATGAGTTTTGACTCTTGAGTTATTAAAAAAGAAGTGGCGCGGCACCACCTCCTTTTCACTGGGGCCTCTGGGTGGTCACCCCGATTCAACAAGAGAGCAGCCTTCCGGGTATGGACAACCCGCAAAGGTGTTAGTCTTTTTGGGAGATCTTTGATTATCAACAATTCCATTATTTCCACTATATGGTACCAAAGAGCCATTTTTCAATTTGATCCCTCAGCCCTGCAAATGGCTAGAGGGATGGCTACCTGTTATCTTTGGAAGGAAGAAATGCATGGAGATTCCTACCTGCCCAAAGTGGTGTGGCATGTGGTCACACAGCCAAAACGGATGGGCGGGCTGGCAGTTCTCGACCCGAAATATCAAATCGGAGCCTTGCTGGCACGGTGGGTGCCTTGGGCGATTTTGGTAGGCCCGATGGTCCCCTGGAGGCAACTGGCTGATTTTGCGCTCTTTGCCGGATGGGATTGGGTAACCCTACGCTGTTTGTGGCTGGCGGTTCTTATGCCGCCTTATCTGAAGAAGGAACTTCCACATGCGATTTGGGCAGGGATATTGAGAGCATGGAAGAGGTGCTGTCCCAAACCTGTCTCTTATACACATCTAGATGTGTATAAGAGACAGGGCCAGGACTGACTGACGCTCCCCAGAATGGATATGGAGCCATGACCATAAGGCGCTGTTTAAATTTCGAAAAAAGAGAAAAAAAACAAGAAGAAAAGAAAAGAAAAGAAGTTCCTGCTTTTGACGAACACAACAGCCTTGCAATCAAATTTGAGACATCAGAAGTAAGTTCTGATTTAAGAACATCAAAATCTGATACATATCACTCAGAAAATTAAATGAGGAATTCTGATTTTTTACAGACATGAAACTCAAGAGATTAAGAAATTAATCAGGGAATTGACTATCGATTTATGAATTGGAATCTAATTACTTGTCAGTAGTGAACGATTGAAATCAAATTCACAGCTATCAAGTGTAGCAATGGAAGTAAGAAACTGTAATGTCACAAATCTACCCTTTTTCCAGCAGGTGTTGCTCCCCACCCACCAATAGATGGAGCTTGTGCTTTTTGTAAATTAAAAAAAAAAAAAAAAAAGAGCGGAGACTCAAATTGAAGAATCGTCACCATCATCAAGCAACTAACCTATCAAACACGAAGAGGAAGGACACCCTATCCTATCCTACCCTACCCTACCCTACCCTACCCTACCCCCGACAATCCCCTTAAACACACCCCTCCCCTCGCCCCTCCAAGCCTCACCACCTCCTTCATCGGCTATCAGGCAATCCGAGGACCGCCTGGTGGTCGACTACACTGTTCGACTACGTACACTGACTGGCTCAAAAAGACTGCACAATGAAGATAAGACGACGGTGGCGAAAATCATCACCATCACCGTCATCACGGCAATTCAACCTACATCACGAGCCAAAAGCGCCGAACCTGCCAGCCGCCCGTTGCAGGTAGGCCGAAGCGGAGGAGGGGGGGTGTCATCGTCGCAGATGTCGCTCGCCCACCAACAAAAAAGAACTGTCCGCAGCGTCCTCCGTCCCTCGTGTTCTTCCACCCACTTCGTCACAGTATTCTTCCTTCCACACCGTGAAGTGCATCACGTCCTCCCTAACACCCCACGTTGCTGCACCCACTCCCCCTCTTGCAGGGTTCTCCCTCCAATCAAGCGTGTGATATGAGACAAGTAACAAACAGAGAAAAGCCATAGCGAAGAGGCATGATACAGGCTCTGGTGGACTACTCCGGGTAGACTCTGGCCTCAGTTTTGGGTACTGGGCCTTTTTGGTTAAAAAAAAAAAAAAAAAGGCCATAGCACTACCTCCCGCCCACAGAGGTCGATAAGCTCCACTTGCAGCAACCGGCCCGCAGCGTCCCCTTCCTCACTTCGCTATACGCTCAGCCCTCCATGAAAGAGCAGACCCCCACATCTCCCACCATGCCCTATAACCACCTCCTCCAACCCCAGCGATGACCTCGAAAGCCCACTGTCGCCATTCCCAAACTGCATGAGACTTCGTTTCCCGCCCTTGCCGTGAAGCCCACCGACGAGACGCTGCGCCCATGTGCGGCAAAACTTCGGCCGGCGGCGGAGTGCTCCTGGCCCCATGGAATAGTGACACAGGGGCTTGGCCTATGGGCATCGCCCCACCACTCTTGAAATGTGCGAAATGAGAATGAACTCCCCGCTAGAACATGTCCAGATGCGCCCGCCACATGTTTTTGTCTTTTTCACATTTCAAGAGTGGTGTGGTGAGGCCGTATACCTTTCCAGTGGTATATCCACCAATTCCCAAATTCTTCAAGACGCAGGACAAGTAAGGGGCTTGCCGCACCACTGTCGAAAGGAAAAAAGCACTAGTGCATCTTCCCCAAAACGTGGGCATATGCATCTGTTGCTATTCATAGGAACGGATGCATCTTGCCATTTTCTGTGGGAACATGCATTTGAACGTTTTTTCGTTTCTACAATGGCGTGCCCAGGCCCTAAGCCAATGCCCAGTAAGAGCCTCGTTCAACACCACTTGAACATACTTAAAGAGTTTCAACTTTCAAGTGCACACTAGAAGAGAAATTTTGTGATTAATTTACACACACTAACTCCATTTATGGTTCCATCATTTCCATGTACACTTGAGGAAACCCTTGAACAGGATCGCTGCACTTGAAACAGAACTCCATGGCTTGCTGGCCAATCCTGGACCAGGATCTCCTGCTGGAAAAAAAGAAAAACAAAAAAAAAAAGCCCCTAATTGGAGTGCTGGCGGTATCCGCTGGCACTTGAACTCAAGGTACCTCCCGAAGGTACCGCAAGGCAAGGTACCTCCCGGAGGTACCTTGAGTTAAAGTGCGATTTTGCCCCTGGCCAGCGGCACTTGAGTTTCAAGGATGCACACTTGAGAGCAGGAATTCAAAGT